AAAAATTTTATACATATTTTTCAAATCCTTGTAGATAGTGATTCACTCTTGACATCAACTGAAAAATTCAACCATTTGTTATCGTGTCTTCAAGGCGAAGCGTTAGCTACAGTAAAGGCGTTCCAAATAACGGAAGACAACTATCCGAAGGCTCTCCAAAGACTCAAAGAGCGATACGACAATGACCCTCTCATATTTCTGGAAGGCATTGCAACACTTTTTGATGAACCACAATGTATTAAGCCTGATTCGACTCAACTTCGCCAATTAGTGGACAACATTTCGGCTTTATATAGTTCGCTTAAGTCACTGGGATCACACGAACAGATATGTGATGCAATCATGATTCATTTGGTGATGACGAAAGTGGATAGTGAGACGAAACGTAAATGGAATGAATGTCACGACTATACGAAACTACCAACTTGGCTGGAATGTTGCAAGATGCTTGACAGGCGATGTCAACAATTAATGGTACTAGCAAAGGCCAAGCCAAAGGCTACAATCAACCAAGAATTGCAGCATACTAGTGTTCGTAAACCTTTCAAGCACATCTTAATGACGAAACAAAAGTCTACAAGTCAGATTCATTGTGTATATTGTTTAAAACCTGGTCATTATATCACTAATTGTCCAAATTTTTTAGCTCTATCAATTGAAAATCGATGTCAACAGGCGAAGCAAATTCAACTATGCTTTAATTGTCTCCGGAAAGATCACATTAGCACACATTGTCCATCAACGTATTCATGCCGAATGTGCAAAAAACGACATCATTCACTTTTACATAATACTGGTGCATCATCTAATATGGAACCTTTGTGTGAGCAAACAATATCACCTCTAAGTCATGTACACACTAATGCACTAGTTCCAGACGAAACTTCTGCTCGGGTAAAATCAGTGGTGCTTTTGGCAACAGCAATGGTGTTAGTTAAAGATGCATCTGGTACTTTTCAACTCTGTAGAGTGTTATTAGATTCATGCTCGCAGGTCAATTTAATATCGGAATCGATGTGTAATGCACTTCATCTAAAAAAGTCACGAAGTGAAAACAGCCTTGTTGGTGTAGGAGCTGCATCAATAAATATTAAACACAAAACTATAAGTACGATACGTTCAAGGTCAAACAGTTTTGAAGCAGTACTTGAGTTTCTCGTTACCAAAAGAATTTCTGGATATCACCCTAATGAAACACTGTCGTTAGAAGAGTTGCAAATTCCTGAAAATCTTCAATTAGCTGATCCGACATTTTACAAACGCCAAAAAATTGATATGTTACTTGGTGCAGAAGCTTTCTTTTCACTGCTAGCAGTAGGCCAAATAAAACTTGGTGAGAATTTACCGACTTTACAAAAAACTTTGTTCGGCTGGATTATTTCAGGAAAACATTGTTCTACTAAAGATTCCAAAATTGTTTCATCCCATTGTGTTGTCAGCTTGGATACAATTAATGCGAACTTGGAACGGTTGTGGCAGATAGAGGAACCAGTTCATCCACCATCAGTATGGTCAGTAGAAGAACAGCAATGCGAAACCAACTTTCAAAAAACTGTAGCTCTCAGTAACGATGGCCGAATTATGACAAGGTTGCCATTCAAAGGCGACACAAGTACTCTTGGAAATTCTCAGAAAATTGCATTAAGAAGATTTTTATCTATGGAAAGAAGACTTGACTCCAATATTGAGTTAAAATTGGAATATGTGAAATTTATGCAAGATTACGAAAATCTCGGACATATGTCGATGGTTAAGGATTTGGATTTAAATTCTCCCCACTATTTTATCCCACATCATTATGTAATTAAACCAGATAGCACAACTACTAAATTACGTGTAGTTTTTGATGCTTCAGCTCGTACATCATCACAAGGTCATTAAATGAGTTATTAATGGTGGGCCCTACAATCCAAAATGAACTTGTAATAACATTATTAAGATTTCGATTATATCAATATGGAATAACGGCTGACATAACAATAATGTATAGACAGTTTTGGCTACATCCAAGTGATCGCAATTTTCAACTAATTTTGTGGCTTGAGCATAAATCGCAAAATATTTCAGTTTATTAACTGAATACTGTTATATATGGTACGAGTTCTGCGCCATTTCTTGCAACCCGGTGCTTACACTACATTGCAGATAACTATCCTTACCGTAAAGAAACATGTAAAATGATATTAAAAAGGGATTTTTATGTCGATGACATGATCTCAGGAGCAGATGACTTGGAGACATTGCAAGCCATCAAAAATGAAACTACCGAAATATTGGATTTTTACAACTTATCGTTAACAAAGTGGAATAGCAACAATGTTAACATCACTGCACCAAATGTTAAACTTATAGATATTGAGACTGCAAGAGATATGGCATGCCCACTTGGAATGTTATGGAATACGAAAGAAGACTATCTTTGCTTCACTTTTCAATCAACCAATATACCAGCAAGTCATACTAAACGAAACATTTTGTCATTAGCATCATCTTTATATGATCCTTTGGGTCTAATTAGTCCACTTATCATCAAAGCTAAGATTTTGTTACAGCAACTATGGTTAATTGGATGTGATTGGGATGAATCCGTACCTCAAGAAATTTACACAATATGGAACAGAATTCTTGCTGATTTGCATCAAGTGGTACTTCTTAAAATTCCTAGCTTCACTCGAATCAAGAACTCAATTAACATGCAAGTACATGGCTTCAGCGACGCATCAATTAGAGCATACGGATGTTGTATCTATTTACGTTGTCAAGATAATTTTGGCAATGTTAGTGTTCATTTATTAACTTCCAAATCCCGAGTTGCTCCTGTGAAAGCAAGATCATTACCACGTCTTGAATTGTGTGCCGCCCATCTTCTTGCTGGATGCTGGAACAAGATTAAAGATAATTTATTATATTATATTAATAACATATACTTTTGGTCTGATTCACAGATTACTTTACATTGGATTAGTTCTCATTCTTCAACACTAGCGACCTTTGTTGGTAATCGAGTTGCTGACGTTCAAGAATGGTCGGTAAATGCATTTTGGCGCCATGTACCAACCGATTAGAATCCAGCTGATCTCGTTTCTAGAGGGTGTACCATCCCAGAATTACTGTCATCAAATTGGTTCAAAGGACCTTCATTTTTAATGTTGCCGTTGCCAAACTGGCCAGAACATTCAATAAATCAACTAACAGTTGACGAACGCAAGTTAGAAATTCGCAAACTAGTGTGCATTTTGGAAGATATCAAACTGTCGTATTTGCAACAGAGACTTCATCAGATAAGCAATTATAACAAATGTCTACGTATGGTTGCGCTGATGCTAAGATGGCACCACAAGCACGAGGCACAAATTCAATCATTATTCGTGATAAATGAAATACAACGCGCTCTGTTGCATATTGTATATATTATTCAACAACACTATTTTCACAAGGATATAGTAGTTTTACACAACTCAAACCAATTACGAAGCTAGCTGTATTACCAATTAATTGAACCTGACGGTCGCAATGGGGGCCGGTATGTTAAGTCAATTGGGTTCTCGTATACTTATTTTAAGTTCAATTATTTAATATTTATTTACAACTAACAAAAAAGCTTTTAATAGCCGCAGCTTTCCTTTTGTTTTGCTTTTTTTGCTATTGTTAATAATACGTTTTAAAAATAAAGTCAGTGGTATGTGAACTACTCAAGCAAAAGGTGCGTTTGGATTTCTATAAAATCAAAGAGAATAGAAAAAACTATTAAATTAAATAGTTTTCGATCAAATTCATTTAGCAGTTTAAGTTTTATTGATCTTTATAAACTTATCGTTTCAGTTAACACATATCTTTTTACAAATTGTTTGCTAATACTATTAGTTACTTTTAATTTAAAAAAAAAACTTAGTTGTCACAAATTGAATTTTAATGTTCTCAGTTAATTTTAACTTAAATAACAAAACATAGTTTTTCACAAATTGCTTTTTAATACTTTTAGTTATTTTTAATAAAAAAATAAAAAAACACAGTTTCCACAAATTGATTTTTATTACTTTCAGTGGATCCTTTAACTTCAATTTTTAATCATATTTTTCAGTTCAGTAAATAGAAACGTCTTCACTCAAACAAAACTGTCGAAGATCAGAGAGCTCCTCAACCGTGTACTAACATACCATTTTTATATCCTATTTGTTTTCGTCAGCATCCCGTTGATTCCCAAATCCCGCACAATTTTCGAGGCCGTTTTTTGACCCCCATGTTAATACTGTTTTTTTTATGGACTGTGACGTCCATAAGTACGGCCACCGGCAGAGACGTTGGCCGTTTAACGAATTTTGCATAAATTTCCGGTGTACCGGGCTGTATACGAACACGAGTATATGAAATCACTCTTATTTCATATTTATTGTTCGCAATTTCGTTAAGCAGATTTAAAAGTGATTTAAGGGGTTTTTCCTTTTGTTTAGCTGGTCGATCTTCTTCTTCTTCCACTACGAGTCCATCAAATCTATACGAATTACTGAGCCAGTAGTTCAGTTTTTGTTGCTTTGATTTTCTCATTTTTTCAGAACTGTCTCTAGGTCTTTTATTACCTTTAACTTCGTTCCATTCTTCTTTTCTGCACGATTTAATATCATTAGTTTTAATATCGATTTTAGCGTTATGGATTTCGCTCATAGATCCTGATCGTTCTCGTTGAGAAACCTTCAGTAAACTTGAAATGTCTTTATTTTGTTTATTCATTTTTTCTGCTGAACTAAGTTCTTTTTTAGTTCCAACAACTGCTGGCGAATTATTACATTTTAGTTGGTGTGTACCACCTTCCACCTAAATTAAACAGAAAAGATTTTGTTAATAAATTACACATTTAAGAATAAGCGAATTGCAATTGGTATAATTTCTAAGTCAATTTGCACACTTTTATTTCTTTTTTATGTTAAGCATTCAAGCTTTATATGCTGTCTCTATCAGCTGTTTTAGATGTGTGTGGAAAAATATTAATAAAGAAATTCAAAACAAGTTAAACTATTTTTTTCTTTTGATAAAAACAAATGTTTTAATTTAATAAAAGTCTCACTTATCTTTTTAAGTCGTGCACAATTTTATTAGATTTTTATTTAGAGTCACTATCTCATTTGATTTAATTAAATTTGTGATCACTGTATTCCATTTGTTAATAAAAAAAACATTGAAAGTTGCGGAGTGATTTATTTTGCGCGCACTTCATGTAACAGGTTATCTACTTATGTTCAAAGCAAAGTAATTTGATTAAAATTTTTTTTTTCATACACACTTTTCGTAAATGGTCTTTCATTTTGCAGAAATGACAAATCGTATTTCTGTGCTTACATTCCTTTGCCATGTGTGGCAAAGGAATCCACTGCCACATCTATAGCATTTTTTTATCTTCGGATATGTTCAGTGAAGGTTGCAAGTTAAATTTAATTCTTTTTAAACCTCTTTGTTTTATACCGTGTATTTTATTTTAGGTATCTATTTCTGCAAAAATTTTGATGTGCGGTTTGGTGTAATTCCATTCCACTCATTTCCGCTCCTTCGTATGCCGTTGCTACGTTAACTGAGTGATGCAAGTGTAATGTTTTTCTTTTCAATAACCTGCCTTTTGCTTTGCTTTGGTTCTTTAAACCAAAAACAAATTGATTTCGCAGTACAGTCTCTAAGTATGTAAAATTATAAGCGTTTTTATAATTTGTGGCATTGATATTTATTTAAGTTTATTTAATTATATACAATTTTTACTTTTTGTGTGCACCCGTGTGCTGACACTTTCGCGTTCAAATACAAGAGAGAGGATCAAACCAACGGAGTTTACTTGCAGCCAAAAAATATAACAATAATTTGCTCAACTTGAGCACGAAAACAACAGGCAATAAAGAGCAAGAATTAGAACCGTTGGTTTGATTACAGATTACACAGAGGGTAGTTAGAATAATTAATTAAGCATATTTTAACCTATTAATTATATAATATATCAATTGTACAATTCCAAATCCCGAGTTGCTCCTGTGAAAGCAAGATCATTACCACGTCTTGAATTGTGTGCCGACCATCTTCTTGCTGGATGCTGGAACAAGATTAAAGATAATTTATTATATTATATTAATAACATATACTTTTGGTCTGATTCACAGATTACTTTACATTGGATTAGTTCTCATTCTTCAACACTAGCGACCTTTGTTGGTAATCGAGTTGCTGACGTTCAAGAATGGTCGGTAAATGCATTTTGGCGCCATGTACCAACCGATTAGAATCCAGCTGATCTCGTTTCTAGAGGGTGTACCATCCCAGAATTACTGTCATCAAATTGGTTCAAAGGACCTTCATTTTTAATGTTGCCGTTGCCAAACTGGCCAGAACATTCAATAAATCAACTAACAGTTGACGAACGCAAGTTAGAAATTCGCAAACTAGTGTGCATTTTGGAAGATATCAAACTGTCGTATTTGCAACAGAGACTTCATCAGATAAGCAATTATAACAAATGTCTACGTATGGTTGCGCTGATGCTAAGATGGCACCACAAGCACGAGGCACAAATTCAATCATTATTCGTGATAAATGAAATACAACGCGCTCTGTTGCATATTGTATATATTATTCAACAACACTATTTTCACAAGGATATAGTAGTTTTACACAACTCAAACCAATTACGAAGCTAGCTGTATTACCAATTAATTGAACCTGACGGTCGCAATGGGGGCCGGTATGTTAAGTCAATTGGGTTCTCGTATACTTATTTTAAGTTCAATTATTTAATATTTATTTACAACTAACAAAAAAGCTTTTAATAGCCGCAGCTTTCCTTTTGTTTTGCTTTTTTTGCTATTGTTAATAATATGTTTTAAAAATAAAGTCAGTGGTATGTGAAC